TTGTGGGGCTTGAACTCTGGGCTTGGGCGCTGTCCCTCAGCTCTTCGGCTCAAGGGGAGCGCTCTACCACTTGAGTCACAGCGCCACTTCCAGTTTTCTGGTGGTTTATTGGAGATGAGAGTCTCACGGACTTTCTTGCCCAGGCTGGCTTTGAACCGCGATCTCAGATCTCAGCTTCCTGAGTAGGATGACAGGCGGGAGCCACCGGTGCCTGGCTAGTCATTTTTACTTTAAAATGCTTTAGGGTTCCCTCGTTTTGTTTTAGTTTTGGTGGCAGTATGTGTTTTGCATTCAGGCCTCAGCTCGCTAGATGGCTGTCCTGCCCCTTGAGTCAGGACCCCAGGCTCTTTTGTGCTTTTGTTTTCTGGTTTTGGGGGTTTGGTAGGGTCTGTGTTTTGGCCCAAGGCTGACGGGACGGCAGATCCGCACCTCTGCCTCCCAGCAGCTGTGCTGACAGATGTGTGCCGCCGGCGCCAGCTCTGGGCTTTCCTGTCCTGCCACAGGCCTCCCGGCCCGGCAGGCTCCCGCTCAGCCACCGCTGAGAACCCCGCGCCACACTGACATGCAGGAAAGCCGGACGTGCTTCTGTGGAGGCTGCAGATGGGGAGGTGGGCGTGTGTCCTCTGCACAGCCCTGGGCCTTGGGGCCATGGCCGAGTCCTCCTCACTTTGCCCAGCGGTGCTGAGTCGATGCGGTGCTCAGTGTTCTGAGGCTGGGCCGGGGTCTCAGCTAGGCAGACCCCAGGGGTTGTCCCAGTGGGTCTGAGGCAGAGGAGGCCCAGGAGGCAGCCACAGCCCAGCAAGGACCCTCTGCATCTCTGTCTTCCAGGACCCCACAGCCCTGCTCCCGGCCGGCCAGCCCCGAGCCTGAGCCGCTCTCAGAGGCTGACTCCAGGAAGCTCCCGTCCCCCGCCCTAGCGTCCCAGGCAGACAAGGAGCCGCAGCGCCTGCTGGTCCCCGACATCCAGGAGATCCGGGTCAGGTGTGTGAGGCTCTACCTGGAGCAGGCATGCCAGGCAAGCCCTGCCCAGCCAGCCTCAGGCAGGCAGGGGCAGAGCCAGTGGTCATGGCTGCTGTGGCTGCGGCTCCCTTCCTCCTCCTCCTCCTCCTCCTCCTCCTCCTCCTCCTCCTCCTCCTCCTGCTCCTCCTCTTCCTTCTTCTCCCCCTTCCTCCTCCTCTACCTCCTCCTCTTTCTTCCTCTTCCTCCTCCTCCTCCTTCCTCTCCTTTCTTCTTCCTCTTTCTCCTCTACCTCCTCTTCTCCTCCTTCTTCTCTACCTCTTCCTCTTCTCCACCCTCTTCTTCCTCCCTCCTCCCCCTCCTCCTCTACCTCCTTCTCTACCTTCTCCTCTTTCTTCCTCTTCTTCCTCCTCCTCCGTCTCCATGTCCCAGAGATGGGCTGGCAGCTTGGCCTCTGACCTCACAGGCCGGGGTCTGCCAGGCGCTCCAGGGTGCCGTGACCATTCCTGGCCTGTGTGGTGGCCAGCACTGCTGGGAGCGGGCCTGGGGAGGTGCGCTGAGCCCCGGCGCTGGACCTCCCTCCTGAGCCTTGCTGCCCCCCCACAGCCCCATCGTCTCCAAGAAGGGCTACCTGCACTTCCTGGAGCCGCACACGTCTGGCTGGGCAAAGCGCTTCGTGGTAGTGCGGCGCCCCTACGCCTACATGTACAACAGCGACCGGGACTCGGTGGAGCGGTTCCTCCTCAACCTCTCCACCGCCCAGGTGGAGTACAGTGAGGACCAGCAGGCCATGCTCAAGGTGCGGCCCGCGCAGCACGGGGTCCCGGGGGGTGGGGTCCTCCGCCGAGCCAGGGCCAGACCCCGGCTGACCGGGAGACGGCTTTGGGGAGGGTCACGCGGCCTGGGCGGTAGCATTCTGTACACCGTGGCGGTGCTGGGGCAGTGGGGCAGGGCCACGCATCTCCGTGAGCCCCCTGCCCCGCTGAGCATGCAGTGTCCTAAAACTGCCGGGCAGAGAAGGTTCTGGAAGCTGTCTGGGTCATGGCTATGATGCCCACTAGGAGACTTTTTATTTCTGGGCAAGCGTGACAGTGCACTCAGCTGCCGCCAATGCTGCCACACAGCCGGGGCTGGGAGCAGGCGCCCTGCGCGGGCGGCTCGGCTGGGGAGCAGGCGCCCTCTGCGGGCGGCTCGGCTGGGTCCCGGAGCGGTGTGACCCGTGCGGAGAGCCCTGGACGGGGCTTCGTGGCAATGCCACCACACACAGAGCTGGGGCTGGGGAGCAGGTGCCCTGTACGGGAGGCTCGTCTGGGGAGCAGGCGCCCTGTGCGGGAGGCTCGTCTGGGGAGCAGGCGCCCTGCGCGGGAGGCTCGGCTGGGGAGCAGGCGCCCTGCGCGGGAGGTTCGGCTGGGGAGCAGGCGCCCTGCACGGACGGCTCGGCTGGGGAGCAGGCGCCCTGTGCGGGCGGCTCGTCTGGGGAGCAGGTGCCCTGCGCTGGCGGCTTGGCTGGGTCCCAGCACGGGTGTGACCCGTGCGGAGAGCCCTGGACGGGGCTTCGTGGCAGTGCAGCCCCTGGGCTGGGGTAGGACACGTGCCCGCAGAGGAGGCCCCTCTCTGGGCCGCTCCCCGGGCGTCACCTCCCAACCCGCTCGCCTCCGCAGACGCCCAACACGTTCGCGGTGTGCACGGAGCACCGCGGCATCCTGCTGCAGGCCAACAGCGACAAGGACATGCACGACTGGCTGTACGCCTTCAACCCCCTCCTGGCGGGGACCATCCGGTACGGCCGGCCCGCCCCCCCCTGGCCAGGCAACACCCCGGGGGGCCCCGGCCGGGGACCCCCGCGGAGACCAGACCTGCAGGGGCGGGAAGCACCAGCCATGCCCCGCTCCTGTGTGCCACGGGCTGGGGGTGGGGTCCAGGGGTGGGGTTGGTGGGGTGTGGGGTCCAGGGCTGGGGTTGGTGGGGTGTGGGGTTGGTGGGGTGTGGGGTTGGTGGGGTGGGGTTGGTGGGTGTGGGGTTGGTGGGTGTGGGGTTGGTGGGGTGTGGGGTTGGTGGGGTGTGGGGTTGGTGGGGTGTGGGGTCCCAGGGGATGTGGGGTTGGTGGGTAGTGGGGTCCCAGGGGATGTGGGGTTGGTGGGGTGTGGAGTTGGTGGGGTGTGGGGTCCCGGGGATGTGGGGTTGGTCCAAGCAGCGATCTTCCGAGTGCACACCCTACAGGGTGGACCTAGACTCGGAACAGCGTGGGAGTGAGGCCTGGGTGTCACAGATTCTGGGTGGGGGCCCCGTGGGGCAGGCACCTCCACGGGTCACCTTGTCCTTCTGGGAGGCCAGGGACCAGGCTTTGGGTTGCACGGTGTGCATGGCGCCGCGAGGGCCCGGTGGACGGGCAGCCTGGGAGCCCGAGGCTCCGACCTGACTTCTTCCCCTGGCTCCACAGGTCCAAGCTCTCCAGAAGGAGGTCTGCGCAGATGAAGGTCTGAGCCGGCCGGTCCCCGCCGCCCGCCGGCAGCCTGGCATCCCACCCCGTGCCATCTTCTCGTGGTCCGCTGCCCAGCCCTCTCCCTCCAGGGGACGCCCGTGCGGGGCCAGCGCCAGCACGGTCGGCCATGCCGCACAGCCCTTGTGCCCCTAGGGGCTGTGCTGTTGTTGTGTCTTCTAAAATGGCTCTGGGTAGAGTTAGGAGAGGCCAGAAAGGTCAGAGGGCGCAGGGCCCGGGGTGTCGCTGCCGTGCTAATATTTTTTTAAGCATAGACAGACTTATAATTAATATACACTAGTTAGTGATGTTGAAATGGTCCATTGAGAAATTAACTATTAAGACTGTGTTTTATTTATAAGTATTTATTTCTCACGTCTCCAGGTAGACCTCTGTGGTTTGGTGGAGTCCTGCCCGCGGCCCAGCCTGTCGGGGGGTGGGGAGGGGGGGGTAGGCAGGAGGTGTCCGGGCCAGCCGGCTCCTCGGGGCTGTGCACGGGAGCGCTCACGGGCAGGCTTCTCCAGGGCTCCTGGGCCGGCGTCCGGTGGAGTGAGGTGTGCGCGGGAGCCGGAGCCCCGAGAGGGTCTAGAGCATGTGTGCTGCTTTGGAGGGGCAGTGTCGGGGGGGGGGGGCAGAGGGCGGCCGGCAGGTGTGCTGATCTGAGAGGAGGCTGTGAGGCATCTGGGTGAGGCAGGAGGGAAGTCAGGCTCCCCTGACGCTGCTGTGGGTCAGGCTGTTGGGCTCCGGGTGGCAGGATGGTCCACGCTCAGGATACACCACCCTTCCAGAGTTTGGGCCGCAGCCTCTCCTGCTTCCAGAAGATCGGGGGCAGGGTTCCTGGCAGTTTTGTGGCAGGGGTTCCCTAGTGCCGGCCTGGCCCTGGGAAGGGTCTCTGTGGGTCCCAGTGTGAAGACTGCAGGCGGGCCGTGGGCGGGCAGCAAGCAGGGGCCAGCCACGTGGCCTTCTCAGAGGAGTGCTCTTTTCCTGCTCGCATCTATGCACAGACATAGCGTGTGTGCATGCACAAACACCCAGCCCTCGGGAGTGGGCGTGCCGGGCCAGACTGGAGCCTCCCTGCTTGGTCCACCACCCGTCTCAGCTCCGGCAGCTTGGCCTAGGCGGGTCCCCTCCGGGGCTGTCCTGCCTGTGCCGACGTGGCCCCCCAGGCCCCTGTAGCAGGAGGTGCTGGCAGCTCCCTCCCAGGGTCTCCGGCCGTGGAAGCCCGTGTGGAGGGGAGGCTCTGGTTCCGGGGCTCTGAGGGGACCTGGCTGGTGGGGCTGGGGCGGCCAGGCCATGCTGTCAGCATCTGTGCCTGATGGCAGCCTTCGCCCGGTCAAAGCTGGAGCCTCAACAGCAGCCTCCACTGTCCTGGGCTCAGATGCCCCGGGCCGCCACCCCCTCCACCACCGCGTCCAGCGCACGGGCCGCCACCCCCTTCCACCACCGCGTCCAGCACAAGCACCTGTCCAGTGCCAGGCCTCCAACACCCGCCGATGCACCACACGGGGCGTCGGTTTTGCTTCCAAACCCCAGAGCAGGAAGCCCACTCCCGGGAGCTGAAGCCCTACTGTCCAGAAGCCAGGCCGCCTGTGCGGGCCCCTCCCTGGGGTGTGGGAGGAGGGGTGAGGTGTGGAGGGGACAGGAGACCGTGTGCCTACGGGGCTCTTGCTGGCTGCCTGGCCACCGAGAGGGAAGGGCAGACACGGCTGCTGTGAGCTGAGCTGGCTTCCAAGGGCATTGAGGGCCACGCTGTGCCCAGCGTGCAGAGATCGGACTGCCCAGGTCGGCCAGCCTGGGCCGGGCCCTGGAAGGACCTGGGCCTGGCATGCAGAGATCGGGCCACCCAGGTCGGCCAGCCTGGGCCAGGGCCCTGGAAAGACCTCGGCTGCTGTGAGCTGAGCTGGTTTCCAAGGGCATTGAGGGCCACACTGTGCCCAGCGGGCAGAGATGGGGCCAGCCTGCCCAGGTCGGTCAGCCTGGGCCCGGCCCTGGAAGGACCTGGGCCTGGCGTGCAGTGCCTCAGGCCAGCCCACCTGCAGAGCACCGCGCCGGAGAGGCGCCAGCCGCCCACCAGGCCCCAGATGCGTCCGCACCGCCTGCTTCTGTCTTTGGAATCGCTGGCTGGGAATGGAGGTGGGGAGGCCCCGATTGGTGCCCAGAAATGTGGAGTCGCTGGTGTGCGAGATCTGCCCACAGCCCGGGAAGTCGCTGGTGTGCGAGATCTGCCCACAGCCCGGGAAGTTGGGTGTCTGCCCCCCCTGCCGCCACTTACCCGTGTGTGTGTTACATTCGCTAGGACAACTCCTCCAGCCTCCTGGGATCTGCCTCTCATCTCTGACGTGGAGGGAGCCCGGGGTGGGGGGCCGGCCGGGGGAGGGGAGGTGCTCACACCCTGCCGTGAAGAAGGAAAACAATCCAGCTCTGGCTGCCCCTTCCCATTAGCCACAGAGGGTAAGGCGTTTCCGGAAGGCTCTCTACCCTAGGCAGTTTTGTCTTCTTGCTTGACCCTGGCCAGGCTCTGTCCACCCCTGTCCACCTCAGAGGGTGAGCTGTGTCCGGGCCCTGGGTGGGGCGGGCAGGACTGTGCCCTGCGGTGCCGCCGGGAAGCCAGAGGTCTCCAGTCTGAGCGACTGCCCATGTTTGTGCTCACTGACCGAATGGACGCACGCCGGCCCCGACCCCCGGATGGCTGTGGAAAGGGGCTTTCCCCATCGATCGAGGTCCCTGGAGACCCCCGGGCAGCTCAGCCCCCACACACACCATGGCTGATGCTACAGGCGGGGAGCAGGGTGCGGTGCCCTCTGCCAGCTCCACCCAGCCTGGGGACTTGAGAAACAGCCTTGATCCCTGAGTCTGGAGCCGCACAGCCCCCCAGGACGGAAGACAGCCCCCCAGGACGGAGGACAGCCCCCCAGGACGGAGGACAGCCCCCCAGGACGGAGGACAGCCTCCCTCAGGATGGACAGAGGTCGCGGCTGGCGTGCGTGTGTCCCGTGCCTGTGCCTGCTGTACGCGTCCGTGCCCTGGCTTGTACATACGTGAGTGCTAAAGCACACCCCGGGCCCCACGTCATCACCACCCCGATGTTCCGACTCCAGGTCCCTGCTGTGTCACACCGAGTGTTAGCTATAGGCCCCTGTACTGTTTGTGTGCACTTAAGGCTGTGTCCAATTAAGAAATAAACGTGGCTCTTGCGCAGTACAAACCGTGGATCCCGGCTGAGGCTTTGTTCCTGCCTTCCCTGGCCAGACAGCATGACCCCAGGGCAGAGGATGGGGAGGGGACATCGCTGAGGGGGAGAGGTCACGGGGGGGGGGGGTAGTGGTAGCCAGAGCCCTCGCTTCCCTCACCCCATGGGGCATGCCGGTCTGAGCTTGCGTGGGCCAGGCTGCTGCATCGCCCCGACAGCCCCCGGACAGGAGATCTCGTGGGCCAGGCTGCTGCATCGCCCCTGGACAGCCGCTGGGCAGGAGATCTCGGCCTCAGGACGTCCAGTTTCTGGTGTGTGATCCTTGCTTACAGGGCCCTGGCCTTGGCAGAGGCCCAGCTGGGAGGAGCAGCACTGGACCCTGGCCACTATGGTCTGTGGACAGGAGGCAGTCTGGGCCTGGGGAACGGGTGCTGGCAGGGCCCTGGGCCCACAGACTTGATGTATGGACGTCAGATGACCACTGACCTCCCCTGACAACTGTAGCTTCCAGGGGACACCTGGGAGGGGAGGGGGCTGCAGACTTGAGGGATGGGGCGACGTGGTGCCACCCTCTGGCTGCGGGTGGAACTGCAGCCGCTTTTGCCTCCACAGCAGAAGAGCCGTGGAGTCGGGATCCGTGCTACTGCCCACTGAGCACAGGCCAGGTTCTGGGCCAGGGCAGAGTGCGGCAGGGACAGGAAGCCCGGCTGAAGAGATCAGGTGTCCCCGCCCACTGCCCCAGAGACGCAGCTACTGGTCACTGCGAGGATCAGCCTGAACATGAGTGGCGCTGCCCAGGCTGGCCAGCACATGACCTAGAGGTCCCAGCGCTTGCTGCCCCGGGGCCCTGGCGGGTGTGACGTGGCCTCTCCCTGAGTTAGGAAGGAAGTCAGTGTGTGCTGAGCCGCTGCACTGCTCTGAAGGTACACTGGGACGTGGAGCAGCCCTGGCCCTGGAGCACCGCCCAGCCGGGGGAGGGAGGACTGCCGGGAGGGAGGGCACGCCACGGGCCGAGGACAGCGGGGCTCTGCAGGGCTGGGTGGGGGCCACACCCCAGGCTCCAGCCACAGCCCCGCAACACCCCAGCCCTCTAGAGCCTGGTGGAGATGTTTGCCTTCCATGAGGCCCCGGAGCCAGAACAGAGGCCGCGACAGGAGTGTGTGTGTGTGTGTGTGTGTGTGTGTGTGTGTGTGTGTGTGTGTGTGTGTGTGTGTGTGTGTTGGTTTGCTGAGATGCTGTCTTCCTGTGTAGCCAGGCTAGCCTCTTGAGAGCCTCCTGCTCTGTCTTCTGAGTGCAGGGATTACAGTATCTGCCACCACGCTCAGTTCCCCCTTCCTTCCTTCCTTCCTCCCTTCCTCCCTCCCTCCCTTCCTCCTTCCCTCCCTTGCTAATTTTTAATTATCTTTAATTACACAAGGGTTTTCGGTTCAGCATGTCACCTCTCATCCTTCTTCCTTCATTTACTTTTTTTTGGGGGGAGGGTCCGGTCGTGGGTCTTGAACTCTGGGCCTGGGCGCTGTCCCTCAGCTCTTCAGCTCAAGGCTAGTGCTCTACCACTTGAGCCACAGCACCACTTCCGGCTTTTTTCTGCTTATGTGGTGCTGAGGAATTGAACCCAGGGCCTCAGGCATGCAAGGCAAGCGCTCTACCACTGAGCCACCTTCCCAGCCCCTCCCCTTCATTTACTTTTTAAAAGAAATCCAGGAGTCTTGTCCACCTGGTGCTGGTCCAGGCCCAGCCAAGCCTGGAGCTGTGAAGCTGTGAGCCCTCCCTCCCCTCCTCCCTACTCCGCTCCCCCCCTCCCCCCCCCCCCCCCCCCCCCCCCGGCCTGGTCCCAAGCTGTGTGACTGTCAGGCTCCCACTGGTGCCTCTGCTGATTTCTCTTTGTTTTAAAAAGAATGAATTACAATGCACTGTGGAGAGTTAGGACATGCCACGAGTAAAAAGAGCCGTGCGTTTTCTTGTTTTCGGGCTTCACAGTTCCCCAAAGGCGCTGGTGTGCACAGTCCACCCTTGGCTGGCCGCCCTGCCAGTGCAGACCTGGGGGCCTCGCGGAGCCGACGTGGGCTCCCGGGCCACCTTCCAGAGCCCTGCCGCTCCGCCTTCCACTCCCCCTCCTGCTCCCGCAGAGCATCGTCCTTTCCTGCTCCTCCAGGCCAGGCCTGGGGGGACATGGAGGTGGGGACAGTGTGAGAGCAACAGCTCGCTTACAGAAGCGAGTGCGTGTGCTGAGCACGGCGCACAGCACTGCACGTCCACAGCTTCAGCTTCCCGTTCAAAAATACAGGAGGCACTTGGCTTGTCAACAGACAAACCCTGTGGCATTTTCAAGACTCCCCATTATGTCACCCTGTGGATGAACCATAATCTTTCAGTGTCAGAAATCAGTGTCGCGAGCTTGCTTTCCTATGAGTCTGGGTGTGTGGCTCCCCCATGGGACACATTCCCCGCTGGAATCGTGTGTGTGTGTGTGTGTGTGTGTGTGTGTGTGTGTGCATGCACGTGTGCATGCACAACTTCTGGGAGATCACCACCCCTGGGCCAGCTCAGCCTCCCTCACCTCCCCAGGTCCTTCGGGAATAAATGACACCCATTAAATTTCAAGCCTTGGGTGCTGCTTAGGGTGGCTGAATCTTTTACGTGCTCACTTGGTCTCCTTTCTGTATCATGGCTGGGGTCTGGCCATGTTTTCCTCTGACTTTGAAGCTAATTCCATAATGCGCTCCTCCATCTCTGCGTGGGGCTGGAAGCCCGGCGCATTCCGGGACGTGAGAGGCGAGTGTTTGCCGCTGTGTGGACACTGCGGAGCACTGGGCAAGCCCGCCGGTGTGGGTCCGCCGCCCAGACGGCGTCTGGGTGCCAAGAGCACTGAGCTGGAGCTGCCCTGGCAATGCTGTCTGGCGCCCCATGCGGAAGTTGTGCTTCGTAGAAGTAGATGTGAGCGAGGGAAATGGGGACCGGGAGCACAGAGACCAGCGCGCAGCGCTGGGTTCAAATCCCATTCCCACCCCAGAGAACACAGCAGCCAGCGAAACAGCTGTCTACCCTGCGTGTCCTGTGCTGTGTGTGCGGGCCGTGCGATGAGTGTGCTCACACCTGGTCAGCACACACCCCTGGGGCCCGGTGCGGGCCGTGTGATGAGTGTGTTCACACCTGGTCAGCACACACCCCTGGGACACGGTGCTGGCCGTGCGATGAGTGTGCTCACACCTGGTCAGCACACACCCCTGGGGCCCGGTGCGGGCCGTGTGATGAGTGTGTTCACACCTGGTCAGCACACACCCCTGGGACACGGTGCTGGCCGTGCGATGAGTGTGCTCACACCTGGTCAGCACACACCCCTGGGGCCCGGTGCGGGCCGTGTGATGAGTGTGTTCACACCTGGTCAGCACACACCCCTGGGACCCGGTGGGGGCCGTGCATTGAGTGTGTTCACACCTGGTCAGCACACACCCCTGGGGCCCGGTGCTGGCCGTGCGATGAGTGTGTTCACACCTGGTCAGCACACACCCCTGGGGCCCGGTGCGGGCCGTGTGATGAGTGTGTTCACACCTGGTCAGCACACACCCCTGGGACACGGTGCGGGCCGTGCGATGAGTGTGCTCACACCTGGTCAGCACACACCCCTGGGACCCGGTGCTGGCCGTGCGACGAGTGTGCTCACACCTGGTCAGCACACCCCCCTGGGACACAGTGCTGGCCGTGCGATGAGTGTGCTCACACCTGGTCAGCACACACACCTGGGACCCGGTGCGGGCCGTGCATTGAGTGTGCTCACACCTGGTCAGCACACACCCCTGGGACACGGTGCTGGCCGTGTGATGAGTGTGTTCACACCTGGTCAGCACACACCCCTGGGACACGGTGCTGGCCGTGCGATGAGTGTGCTCACACCTGGTCAGCACACACCCCTGGGGCCCGGTGCGGGCCGTGTGATGAGTGTGTTCACACCTGGTCAGCACACACCCCTGGGACCCGGTGCGGGCCGTGCATTGAGTGTGTTCACACCTGGTCAGCACACACCCCTGGGGCCCGGTGCTGGCCGTGCGATGAGTGTGTTCACACCTGGTCAGCACACACCCCTGGGACACGGTGCTGGCCGTGTGATGAGTGTGTTCAGACCTGCATCAGCACACATCCCTGGGACACGGTGCTGGCCGTGTGATGTGTGTTCACACCTGCGTCAGCACACACCCCTGGGACAAGGTGCTGGCCGTGCGATGAGTGTGCTCACACCTGAGTCAGCACACACCCCTGGGACACGGTGCTGGCCGTGCGATGAGTGTGCTCACACCTGGTCAGCACACACCCCTGGGACCCGGTGCTGGCCGTGCGATGAGTGTGCTCACACCTGGTCAGCACACACCGCGGTGCAGTGCTGATGGACACCTGGCCTCAGCGGTGGAGGTGTGGTTGTGCCGTGTGCTGACCCTGGAGTGGAGCACCTGGTGCTGGTGTGGCGTGGGCATGGTCTGGGCTGGTGTGAGCATGGTTTGGGTGGGGCATGGTCTGGGCTGGCATGGGCGTGGCATGGGCATGACGTGGGCATGGTGTGGCGTGGGCTGGCCTGGGTGTGGTGTGTGCATGGCGTGGGCTGTGTGGGTTTGGCATGGGCTGACGTGGGTGTGGTTTTGGCATGTCATGGCATGGAGTGGGCTGGTGTGGTGGGGTGGGGTGTGGGCGTGGCCTGGGCTGGCATGGGCGTGGTGTGGGCATGGCATGGGTGTAGCATGGGCTTGGGCGTGGCCTGGGCTGGCGTGGGTGTGACGTGGGCGTGGCCTGGGCTGCCTTGGGCCTGGGTGGTGAGTCTATCATTGGCACCAACCAGCATGTGGCTGCTGTCTGGGAGCTGCCTGGTGCCTGCGGGTGCGCCACGCCCCAGGGTGTGGCCAGAGCCCCCCCCAACCTCCTGCGGGGCGCCTGCTGGCACCATCCTGGCTGCGCGCTGAGCCCAGCCTGCCTGGGACACCCACAGCAGCGGCCACCCGGCCACCTCTGGGTCTTGTCTGCGAGGCACCTCTACCTCACCAGCTCCGGGACCCCTGTGCGGCCTGGCCCCCAGGGGCTGCCAGGCGCTCTGGGTCTTGGCCAGGGGAGGTGCAGGCCTTCTCCAACCAGCGGGGTTGAGCCACAGCACCACTTCCAGTTTTCTGGTGGTTTATTGGAGATAAGAGTCTCCTGGACTTTCCTGCCCAGGCTGGCTTTGATCCACGATCCTCAGATCTCAGCCTCCTGAGTAGCTAGGATGACAGGCATGAGACTTCGGTGCCTGGCTCAGCTCTTCAGCTCAAGGCGAGCGTTCTACCCCGTGAGCCACAGCACCACTCCTGGCTTTTTCTGCTTATGTGGTGCTGAGCAATGGAACCCAGGGCCTCATGCAAGGCAAGCACTGAGCCACCTTCCCAGCCCCTTACAAGTGAATTCCTGGTGGTTATATGAATTAGCATGCTGGGAATTCTGGACCATCAAGCAACAGGAGAAATTAATTTTAAAATCATCTTCCACATCAGTATTGTTCATCTAGGCCAGGCGTGGGAATGACTCAGGCCTGTAATTCTAGCTGCCTAGGAGGCAGACAGTGTGGTGAGGACAGCCTTGGGTAGAGGAGACTGCAAGACTCCAGTTCAACCCATGACGCGGTCACACGTGCCAGGCATTCTAGTGACATGTGAAGGCACAGACAGGGTCCCAGTCCAGGTCAGCCTGGACATAAAGCAGCAATGGCCAGCAGCGTCTTAACAATAACCCGCACGAAGCAGCCTGTCAGAGTGGCTCAAGTGGCAAGTGCGTGCCTAGCGAGTGTGAGGTCCTGAGCCCAGCACCTCAGTGCTACCAAAAGACGGAGCCCAGCACCTCAGTGCTACCAAAAAGAGTTCATCTGACATCTTGTGAGACTCGGGTGCCCGTGGCCGGTGGCCATGCCTGTCATCCTTCCTCCGGGAGGCTGAGGTTGAGAGGACTGCGGAGCCGGGCTGCCCCTCGGCAGAAAGCTCGAGGTGCGGGAGCTCCGTGGGGAGCTGGAGGACTCGGTGTGCTGTGAGTCCAGCAACCGCAGGGGCCTTAAAATAGGGAGAAGGCTCAGTCCCGTGCCTGGAACAAGAAAAAAACCGGCAGAAAGCAGTGCTGGAGGCCTGGCTCAGGTGATAGAGCACCAGCCTAACGGGGGGGAGGGGGAGCTCTGAGCTCAAACCAGCGTCGTCCCCGCAAAGTAAATGATAGATAAGTGCGTGTGCGTCGTGAAAAGCGAGGGGTCTTCACCAACAGCAATCACTGAGTGTTAGATGCGATGTTTGTTTTGAAATCTGTGGGTGTGCTTCGTGCTTTCCAGAATGGGGTTCTGAGACTGCTCCGGCTTCCAGTGGCACCCTGGCGGAGCCTGTGTGCCCCCCGCGGGCTGCCTTTCCGCCCGGGCTCAGCCTGGGTGCCAGAGGCCTCGGCTGGCTGGACGCCTGGGCTCCAGGACGGCCGTCCAGGTGCCGCTGGGGGACCCCAGCCATGTTTGCCAGCCGCTCTGGGCCCTGGGGGCCCCGCCCTCCTCTCCCCTGAGCGGCTTCCTGCCCCCCTCAGCAAGGCCCCGCAGGATGCTGCAGGCCCGCCGCGGCAGGGGAGGCTGCTTGGGGCTGGAACTTGTGCCTCATCCTGGAAGCCAGTGACGGGCTGAGATGGGAGGTCTCTCCGCAACAGTTTATTGGCAACAGCTTCCAAGGTCCTCCTAGCTAGGCGAGGTCCAGGCCGCCCTGAGCGCCGCCGTCCCGCACAGCCTGGGCTCCTGGCTGCAGCGTCCCTTTGCGGGTGTCTGGGTGTCGGAGGCGCCGGAGGCCAGCTTCCCCCTGGGGCTGCGGTACTTGTGCCTCTGCCGGTAGAGCAGGTTCCTCTGGGAGAGGCGGGGAAGCCGGCCCTCGTGCAGCAGGACCGCCAGCACCATCCCTGCAAGAGACCAGAAGCCAGGCGGCCCTTTCCCCTGGAATCCTCGCCGCCCGAGGCTGACACCTGAGGGTCGTGGTGTGAAGCCAGCCCGGACAGAAAACTGTGAAACCCTGATCTCAAATTAACCAGCCAAAGGCCATCAGTGGAGCTATGACTCAAAGGGTAGAGCACCCGCTTTGAGTGAAGAGAACCAAGCCAGAGTGAGAGGCTCAGAAGCAGAGCAGGCCTGGGATGGGCAAGGCACTCCTTGGGGGCCCCAGGACACCTCCTCGGCCCTCCCCCCAGGACACCTGCTCAGCCCCCCAGGGACACCTGCTCAGCCCCCCACCCCCAGGACACCTGCTCAGCCCCCAGGACGCCTGCTCAGCCCCCCACCCCCAGGACACCTGCTCAGCCCCCAGGACACCTGCTCAGCCCCCAGGATGCCTGCTCAGCCCCCCAGGACACCTGCTCAGCCCCCAGGATGCCTGCTCAGCCCCCCAGGACACCTGCTCAGCCCCCAGGATGCCTGCTCAGCCCCCCCACACCTGCTCAGCCCCCCCAGGACACCTGCTCAGCCCCCCAGGACACCTGCTCAGCCCCCCCAGGACACCTGCTCAGCCCCCCAGGACACCTGCTCAGCCCCCCAGGACACCTGCTCAGCCCCCCAGGACACCTGCTCAGCCCCCAGGACACCTGCTCAGCCCCGAGGACACCTGCTCAGCCCCCCAGGGACACCTGCTCAGCCCCCAGGACACCTGCTCAGCCCCCCAGGACACCTGCTCAGCCCCCCCAGGACACCTGCTCAGCCCCCCAGGACACCTGCTCAGCCCCCCAGGGACACCTGCTCAGCCCCCAGGACACCTGCTCAGCCCCCAGGACACCTGCTCAGCCCCCCCAGGACACCTGCTCAGCCCCCCAGGGACACCTGCTCAGCCCCCCACCCCCAGGACACCTGCTCAGCCCCCCAGGACACCTGCTCAGCCCCCAGGACACCTGCTCAGCCCCCCAGGATGCCTGCTCAGCCCTCCACCCCCAGGACACCTGCTCAGCCCCCCAGGACACCTGCTCAGCCCCCCAGGACACCTGCTCAGCCCCTCAGGGACACCTGCTCAGCCCCCCACCCCCAGGACACCTGCTCAGCCCCCAGGACACCTGCTCAGCCCCCCAGGATGCCTGCTCAGCCCTCCACCCCCAGGACACCTGCTCAGCCCCCAGGATGCCTGCTCAGCCCCGAGGACACCTGCTCAGCCCCCCAGGACACCTGCTCAGCCCCCCACCCCCAGGACACCTGCTCAGCCCCCCAGGACACCTGCTCAGCCCCCCCCACACCTGCTCAGCCCCCCAGGACACCTGCTCAGCCCCCCAGGACACCTGCTCAGCCTCCCAGGACACCTGCTCAGCCCCCCAGGACACCTGCTCAGCCCCCCAGGACACCTGCTCAGCCCCCAGGACACCTGCTCAGCCCCCCAGGATGCTTGCTCAGCCCCCCACCCCCAGGACACCTGCTCAGCCCCCCAGGACACCTGCTCAGCCCCCCCACACCTGCTCAGCCCCCCAGGACACCTGCTCAGCCTCCCAGGACACCTGCTCAGCCCCCCAGGATGCTTGCTCAGCCCCCCCACACCTGCTCAGCCCCCCAGGATGCCTGCTCAGCCCCGAGGACACCTGCTCAGCCCCCCAGGATGCCTGCTCAGCCCCCCCCACACCTGCTCAGCCCCCCAGGACACCTGCTCAGCCCCCCCACACCTGCTCAGCCCCCCAGGATGCCTGCTCAGCCCCCCCACACCTGCTCAGCCCCCCAGGACACCTGCTCAGCCCCCCAGGACACCTGCTCAGCCCTCCAGGACACCTGCTCAGCCCCCCCACACCTGCTCAGCCCCCCAGGACACCTGCTCAGCCCCCCCACACCTGCTCAGCCCCCCAGGATGCCTGCTCAGCCCCCCCCCACACCTGCTCAGCCCCCCAGGACACCTGCTCAGCCCCCCAGGACACCTGCTCAGCCCCCCAGGACACCTGCTCAGCCCCCCCACACCTGCTCAGCCCCCCAGGACACCTGCTCAGCCCCCCAGGACACCTGCTCAGCCCCCCAGGATGCTTGCTCAGCCCCCCCACACCTGCTCAGCCCACTCAGTGGCCAGAGGCTTGCCTCCCCTCCCCCCCGACTCCCCCCCACCCCGGAACTGAGGCTGGGCTCAAGTGGCTCCCAGCAGGGGCAGAGAGACTCGGGGTGCCCCTGGACCCCAGGCTGCGATCTGACAAGCACAGAGCTCATGCTGGATCCAAGCCCCTGGGTCACCGGGCAGGCCTCAGGCCTGAGCAGCTCCCGGGGCCCAGCTGTCCTCGGCCTGGTCCAGGAGGAGCGGAGCGGCCCCCTCTGTGCTTCAGGCCCGTGGGGGTTCGCCTCCGCCTCCCCCTCAGCTCCTACCAGTACCAGGCTCCAACGCTCCCATGGGGCCCAAACAAGTGGGCTCACCAGAGCCCCCCACCCCGACCGACCTCTGCAGGGCGCCCTCACACCCTCCCTCAGCCAGAGGACCGAGGCTGCCCCCCCCCGCCCCATCCCTCCCCAGCCGCCCGGAGTGGCCTGGCCCCCTCCCGGCTGCAGCCTCACCTGTCAGAGGGCCCAGCCAGTACACCTGTGCGAACTCCAGCAAGGTGTGCCCCGAGCAGCGGAGGGTGACAGAGGCCGCCAGGGCGGGGTTGAAGAAGGCAGAGGTGAGGGGCCCGGCTGTGGACAGAAGCACACGGCCCTCGTGCCGGCCCTGCCTGCGGCCTGTCCAGGCCAGAGCCAGATCCCCCAGCGGAACTCAGCCCCATGCTGCCAAGGTCAAAGGTCACAGGGTCAGGGCCTCCCGGGGAGGCACAACGCCCCTCCCCACATCTCCCCTAAGAGGGGCTCCTGTCTCGGGTCCCGCCTCATGGGAGGTGGCCACAGAGAGAGGTGGAAGAGACAGACAGCAGGAGACCCAGAGAGGAGAAAGGTGACAGACAGCGCTGGAGCCGAGGCCGGCTCACGCCCAGGGTCCTGGCTACTGGGAGGTCTGAGGACTGAGGTTCAAAGCCAGCCAGGAGGAAACGGCAGTGAGACACAGCTCCAATGAGCCATCGACAAGCCATCAACAAGCCATCAACAAGGCTGGGGCTCAGGGGGTAGAGTACTCATCTTGAGCACAAAAGCTCAGGGACAATGTCCGGGCGTTCCTGGAGTTCAAGCCCTGCCAGGACTGGCACACACAAAACAAGACAGACACAGAAGGCGGCAGCTGTGACAGTCCAGGGAGAGGGAACCTCACAGAGGCTGCGGCCAGCCCCAGCCAGCGAGCTGCAGAGAGGAGGGGCCAGCCCCAGCCAGCGAGCTGTGGAGAGGAGGGGCCAGCCCCAGCCAGCGAGCTGCGGAGAGGAGGGAGGGGCTGGGCTGGCGGCACTGCTGGGCGGGGTGGAGCGGGGCATGGGTCCTGGGGACAGCTGGTGGCCAGGTGACCCAGCGCTGGGGCCGGCCAGTTGGAGGCCAGGAGACAGGTAACCTGCTTCAGCAGGCAGCGCCCAAGAGGCCCTGGTGCTGTGCTGACATAAAGCTGGACCTCTGCGGAGGGGTCCCACCCCTGCCCAGGCTGGGGCCCAGGTCTCCAGCTCCTCCCCCCCCAGTACCCCCCCTACCCCTGGCCTCTGCCTCCCCCCCCGCCTGGCACCCCACTCCTGGCTTCTGCCTCCCCCCCCACTCAGTCCCCATACCCCTGGCCCCCCCACCTTCCCCACCCCTACCCAGTGCCCCCTTTGCCCCTGGCCTCCACCTCCCCCACCCCCCCACTCAGCCCCCATACCCCTGGCCTCCACCTCCCCCACCCCCCCACTCAGCCCCCCACACCCCTGGCCTCCACCTCCCCCCCCACTCAGCCCCCACACCCCTGGCCTCCACCTCCCCCCCACACTCAGCCCCCATACCCCTGGCCTCCACCTCCCCCCCACACTCAGCCCCCATACCCCTGGCCTCCACCTCCCCCCCACACTCAGCCCCCATACCCCTGGCCTCCACCCCCCCCCCACTCAGCCCCCATACCCCTGGCCTCCACCTCCCCCCCTGCCCTGAGTCTCCACTCATCACTCATCCAGCACCCCCCACTCTCCCCCGTGCTGGGTCGGGGCTCTAAGCTCTGGCTCTGGCCTTACTCGGTCCCTGGACCGCCTAGGAGTCTAGGACCCCTAGCCGCCTCGGTGCAGCCCTTGCAGGATGCAGATCTCCGCGTCCAGCGTGTCAGCCCCTGGGCTGGCCCCGTCCGGGTCTCACCTGTGTGGGCCAGGAGGGTGACCAGCAGGGCCAGGGCGGGCACGCTGCAGGCGGCCGGCCTGTGCCGCAGGCGGAGCAGCGCCAGGTGGAAGAGGAAGGCGCAGGTGCCCTCGGCCAGCGCGCCCAGGGGCACGGACGTGCGCAGCGCCGAGCTGCAGTGCGCGGACAGGAGGCTCTGCAGCAGGTGCAGCTCGCTCAGCCCCCAGGCCCAGCAGAGCTGGGTGAGGGCGCAGGCCGCCTGCATCCCCAGCCCCTGGGCTGCCAGCTTGAGCAGCGTGCTGGGCAGGGTGGTCTCCGCCATGAGGAACTCCTGCAGGGCCACGGTGGGGTTGGCAGAGGCCCCGTCGAAGGTGGCCCCATGCACGAGGAAGAGCAGGAACAGCAGTGTGAGCAGCAGGTCGGGCCCGAAGCCCCCGGCCCAGGGCCCCAGCTCCGCCAGCGCGCGCAGCTCCAGGCAGCAGGCGGCCAGCTGGGCTGCCCCGGCTGCCTCCCGGGCCAGGCCGTAGGCGCCCGCCGGGAGCAGGGCCCGGGCGGCCCTCCTGGCCGCCTCACACAGGGCGCAGGCAGCGCAGAGGAAGGAGAGGGACGCGTTCAGACCTGCCATCAGTCCAGACCCCGGGAGCCGCGAGCAATCCCAGGAGGCCGTGTGGGAGCCTCCACCTGGCCCCTGGGAACCCCACACCTGCACCCTCACGGCTGCCCCACTCCTCACCGGACAGCTGTCTCCAGAAGCACGGCCACTGTCCCCCCGCCCCGCCCAGCATACCCCCCCCCAGGTGAGGCACCCAGGCCTGGCTCCCTCTCTTGGCGCCGGCTATGGACCTGGGGCCCAGCCACACCGTCACAGCTTCTACCAGCTTTGTGACTCATGCCTGGCCTCCCCTGCGGGGCTGGTGGCCTCGCCTGGGCCGGCTCCCCCAGCCTCTCCCTCCCCTCCCCCCCCTCCCCTGCCCACTCTCTGCCTCACACTGGTCCCACCAAGGGGCAGCTGCTGTTCTCTGTTGGACCCAAGACCTCCTTGTGGGCATCAGTGTGTCCCCAGCCCACAGGCCCGGGCTCCACCTCACTGTGGGCTCTGAGCTTCCTGTCTGGCTTCTAGAAAGGACACAGGAAGTGCTGGCTGGGAGTTCCTTTGGCCCCTGCAGGCCAGTGCTGGACTAGGAAGCACTGTGTCACACAGTGGGGACAGCTCCTGCACAGCTCTCCCGGTCGCCCCACGCCACGGCGTGGACTCCGCGTGGAGGACACGGCCCACAGTCATCAGACAGCACAGCGCCACAGCGTGGACTCTGCGTGGAGGACACGGCCCACAGTCATCAGCACAGCGCCACGGCGTGGACTCCGCGTGGAGGACAAGGCCCACAGTCATCAGACAGCACAGCGCCACGGCGTGGACACCGCGTGGAGGACACGGCCCACAGTCATCAGACAGCACAGTGCCACGGCGTGGACACTGTGTGGAGGACACGGCCCACAGTCATCAAACAGCACAGCGCCAAGGCGTGGACACTGCGTGGCGGACACAGCCCACAGTCATCAGACAGCACAGCGCCACGGTGTGGACTCTGCGTGGAGGACACGGCCCACAGTCATCAGACAGCACAGCGCCACGGCGTAGACTCTGCATGGAGGACACGGCCCACAGTCATCAGACAGCACAGCGCCACGGCGTGGACTCTGCGTGGAGGACACGGCCCACAGTCATCAGACAGCACAGTGCCACGGCGTGGACTCTGCGTGGAGGACACGGCCCACAGTCATCAGACAGCACAGCGCCACGGCGTGGACTCTGCGTGGAGGACACGGCCCGGGGTGCGGTCATCAGACAGCACAGCGCCACGGCGTGGACTCTGCATGGAGGACACGGCCCACAGTCATCAGCACAGCGCCACGGCGTGGACTCTGCGTGGAGGACACGGCCCACAGTCATCAGACAGCACAGCGCCACGGCGTGGACACTGTGTGGAGGACACGGCCCACAGTCATCAGACAGCACAGCACCACGGCGTGGACTCCGCGTGGAGGACACGGCCCACAGTCATCAGACAGCACAGCGCCACGGCGTGGACTCCGCGTGGAGGACACGGCCCACAGTCATCAGACAGCACAGCGCCACGGTGTGGACTCTGCGTGGAGGACACGGCCCACAGTCATCAGACAGCACAGCGCCACGGCGTGGACTCTGCGTGGAGGACACGGCCCACAGTCATCAGACAGCACAGCGCCACAGCGTGGACTCTGCGTGGAGGACACGGCCCGGGGTGCGGTCATCAGACAACACAGTGCCATGGCATGGACTCTGCATGGAGGACACGGCCCACAGTCATCAGCACAGCGCCACGGCGTGGACTCTGCATGGAGGACACGGCCCACAGTCATCAGACAGCACAGCGCCACGGCGTGGACTCTGCGTGGAGGACACGGCCCGGGGTGCGGTCATCAGACAGCACAGCGCCATGGCGTGGACTCTGCATGGAGGACACGGCCCACAGTCATCAGACAGCACAGCGCCACGGCGTGGACTCTGCGTGGAGGACACGGCCCACAGTCATCAGACAGCACAGCGCCACGGTGTGGACTCTGTGTGGAGGACACAGCCCACAGTCATCAGACAGCACAGTGCCACGGCGTGGACTCTGCGTGGAGGACACGGCCCGGGGTGCGGTCATCAGACAGCACAGCGCCACGGCGTGGACTCTGCGTGGAGGACACGGCCCGGGGTGAGGTCATGAGACAGAACAGCGCCACGGCGTGGACACTGTGTGGAGGACACGGCCCACAGTCATCAAACAGCACAGCGCCACGGCGTGGACACTGCGTGGTGGACACGGCCCACAGTCATCAGACAGCACAGCGCCACGGTGTGGACTCTGCGTGGAGGACACGGCCCACAGTCATCAGACAGCACAGCGCCACAGCGTGGACTCTGCGTGGAGGACACGGCCCACAGTCATCAGACAGCACAGCGCCACGGCGTGGACTCTGCGTGGAGGACACGGCCCACAGTCATCAGACAGCACAGCGCCACGGTGTGGACTCTGCGTGGAGGACACGGCCCACAGTCATCAGACAGCACAGCGCCACGGCGTGGACTCTGCGTGGAGGACACGGCCCACAGTCATCAGACAGCACAGCGCCACGGCGTGGACTCTGCGTGGAGGACACGGCCCACAGTCATCAGACAGCACAGCGCCACGGCGTGGACACTGTGTGGAGGACACGGCCCACAGTCATCAGACAGCACAGCGCCACGGCGTGGACTCTGCGTGGAGGACACGGCCCGGGGTGCGGTCATGAGACAGCACAGCGATGGCGGCGTGGCGGGAGGAGGAGCGGGCGCTCAAGGAGGAGCGAGGGCCGAGCTGCGTCCGTGCTAGGGAGCAGGCGGAAAACAGCAGAGGATTCTGGGAAGGAGGGGCAGGCCAGGGAGAGGGCCGACTAGGACATTCCAGGGAAGAAGCTGGGTTTGGGGTCCCGGGACCGCGCCCCCAGAGACGCCGCTCGGGGCCCAGCAAGGGTGCAGGGTGCTGCAGTGGCCGCGCAGAGACCAAGGTGACGGCCACTCACCCTGTTTTTCCTGCCCCCAGAGGGTGGGCCCAGGAGCCAGTGGCTCTGCCGAGATGCAGACACCATCGGGGCCATTCGACCGAGGACGGGGGATGTTGCCCACCGCCCTCCCTGCGCCCCCCTCTCCACACCCTTTCTCCACTTCCTCCGCTTCCCATGGGTACCACAGGTCCACCCACCCCGGCAGCCGGGAGAAGTTGCTGACCGAAAGGCGGCGGGAGGCGCTGCCGGGCCGCTCTGAGCCCGGGCATCCGCGGCGTCCTCGGAGATGCCGAGGCTGTTCCCTGCTGTGAGGCTGACGTCACGATGCCTGAATGGGACGTGGAGACCACGCGGCCCTGTCCAGTGGGCAGGAAGCTGCTGTGGAGACCACGCGGCCCTGTCCAGTGGGCAGGAAGCTGCCGTGGAGACCCGCAGCCCTGTCCAGTGGGCAGGAAGCTGCCGTGGAGACCCGCAGCCCTGTCCAGTGGGCAGGAAGCTGCCGTGGAGACCTGCGGCCCTCTCCAGTGGGCCGAGGCCCTTTAATCCCCGCCACACCTCGCCCGCCCTGCAGGGACTTTGGTTTTTATTTCTCCAAACCTGGCTGCTCCCAGCTCACCTGGAGGAGCGGGTGCCGGTGGCTCACACCTATAATCCTAGCTACTCAGGAGGCTGGAGACCTGAGGGGCAGGGTTCAAAGCCAGCTGGGCAGGAAAGTCCATGAAACTCTTATTTCAAAAGAACCACCAGAAAACCGGAAGTGGTGCTATGGCTCAACGTGGGAGAGAACTCGTCTTGAACAAAAGAACTTAGGGATAAAAACCACAACCAAAAAGAACTAAGTGTATTATTTAGGACTAATAAGGAGAGTTTATTGATATCAACGTAACGATATCAGTACTAATTATTATCCCTGATGCTGTACTAAATGAAAATTCGACTGTTTTTCCAATTGCTGAACTTTTTCCAAAATCCTAATCATGGCTGTGCCAAGTCTTCTGTCATCTACAATTTTAATCCTTCTCTAAAACATTTACAATCAAGCTCATAAAAATGACTCTAACAAGCATGTATTTGTTAAACAGTTTTTCTTAAATATTTGCTCTGAAAGTTTTGTAACATTTGGGAATCACAACTTCTGATGAATAACCAGAGTAGCATTTTGAGATGCTGGGACAGTACTTAAAAGGCTGACAAATTATTAAACTTAAAAATGGACTCTGTGTAAGTTCTCCCTAAGAATCGCTCCTGCTAAACCTCTTAATTGCTTAAATTTGGTCAAAAGATCTAATGAACACAGACCATGTCCGTGTGTCGCTACCTCTCCCCGGCGTCCCTCCCTCCGTCCCCACCCTGCTCCCACCCTCAATCCCGTCCCCCCCAAAACCATGGGGTGTTGGGATCGCAACAGACCGTGGGGAGAAATCTCAGCCTGGCACCAAGAGACAACCAAAGCCAAATCACACAGTGGCCAATCATAATTTCTTCAAAAATGTTACCCAAGAACAGAGTGGGGAGGGGATTGTCAAAACCCAAATGGTGCCTCACAGCCAGGAGGTCCTGGAAAAGGAGGGTGTCCACAGCTTCACAGGCGAGCCACAAGGAAGCCCACACCCACGGTGACAAAGACTTGCAGGAGACGGCTTTCAACGGTTTCCAGGGGAGTTTGAGTGCCACGCCTGTGGAGTTGTCTTTAAAAGGGTCAAGTCCTTTCAAAGCCCCTTGTGGGTGGCCCTTCCTCCAAATAGACAGTGTATGTAACACCAGGATGGTAAAACGTAGGCGGGGGGCTCAAGCCTGAAATCTTAGCCACTTGGAAAGTGGGGTTGGGGTGTTGAGATCTGAGGCCAGTCTGAATTTTTTGAGGTTTCCATCAATTCAGTGGCTGGATGTGACAGTACCGGCCTGTTGTCCGTGACAAGGAGGCTCACAGCCCAGGCACGAAGTGAGACTGTCTCTCAAACCTAACCAAAGCAGAGGGCCTGGCGGAGGGATCGCCGCGGAAAAGCACCCACCCAGGTCACCCCAGCTACAGCCTAGACACCTCATACCAACCCCCGTGCCAGCCCAAAGGGCTCTAACCTCAAATGCTCATCAACACTTGAAGGAAAGGGGGTGCAGTCAACTCATGGAGGCATGCTACACAATTAAGCAGGGGGAGGGGTGGGTGAGAAGGCGGAAGGGTGACGCTGTGGAGATGCACTGCTGTGCAAATGGGGACACCCCTGCACCATTACTCACAGGCCACACACACGCACGCACACGCACGCACATGCGCACACACACACACGCACACACTAAAACAAAATGAATGAAACAAATGTTTTTTTAACTTGAAAGGACTGATGTCCTAGGGCTACTCTGGAATCTTCTGGAAAGCTTGATACTGTCCTGCTTTCTACCCCCACAACAAATCAGAATTCTGGGTACTGGGACATGTCTCCAGAGCGGAGCCCTTAGCCGACACAGACACTGCAGACCCCGACCACTTCCCGGCCCACCAGTGAGCACTTCCCGGTGATCAATAAACGCCTCCCGCCAGAGCCCAGGTCAGCACGGAGCACGCTCGTGCTTCTCTGGGGGCCGCAATGCCCACGCTGGGGCGTCCCCGGGAGGCCAGGCCAGGACGCCAGGCCCCCGTGTGCGCTCCTGGCACCGTCTTCTCCCACAGCCCAGCTGGCTCGCCCGGGCAGAACCTGGACCTTCACACCAGTGATTCCCCGCTCCAAGGACGGGGCTGCGGTCAGGCCCTCCTCCATTCCCCGGGCCCCACCTGGCCTGCAGTGCGGCCAGCCTAGCGGCGCCCTCCCCTGGGCTGTCCACCACCACTCACCCCACCCACCTGCAGACCTGCGCAGTGCTGCTGGCCGTTCAGAAAACGTAGTGATGTCCTGAGCTGCCACGCAAGGCCACACCCCGGGGTGTCAACAGGCTCAGGGTGGAGGGCCACCCCGCTCTGGATCTCCCTAGTAAGGAACTGAGCTTGTAAGTGCCTGGCCAGCAACTCTTTTCTGGGCCCTGCTCACCCACCCTCCTCCTCCCCACTGAGCTGTGGCTCCTCCCAGAGGGCCTCTGGGCCTCTGCTTGCCCTGGGCATTTTACTGGCCTGCGCCTGGTACACATGCAGCCTGTGGGCAGTGCGTTCAGTGTTCCTGACTGCTCCGTGGAGCCACCGATCACCTCAAGTGCATTCCCAGGACACCTCAGGACCCTGGACCGGCCATTCCCAGCACAGGATGGGACCCTGGACTGGCTATTCCCAGCACAGGACAGGACCCTGGACTGGCCATTCCCTGCACAGGCCAGAAGGTCGATCCCAGGGGGACCTTGTGACCCCAAGAGTCCAGCCCTCAGGGCTGCACAGCCTGTACTTATCACTCATGGACCAAATACTCGTGCTGCGATACTTCTATTGCCCATCAGGGCAGGAGTCCCCTGCGGGTCAGGGGCTGTCCAGACACGCGGGCTTGTGCCACGCCAGCTCAGGTAGAAGAGTCCGTGAATGAGCTCAAAGGAGAGGCCCGGAGTCTGGGGACAGCATCCTGGGCGTGCACTGGGTGGGCCTCCGCCGCGGCCTCTTGTAAACAGCCCTCTGGGCCCAGCTGCCTCTCGGTGTGTGTGGTCTGTGACTGCATCCGAGACGGCCGTGCTCCAGCAGCAGTGGGCGGGTCACACGAGACAAAATATTTACGCTGGGGCCTTTGGGCAGAAGCTGGCCGCGGCCAGGCCAGGCCAGGCCCCGGCTCAGCAGCCGGTGACCAGCACCGGCCATGCGGGGTGCAGTGAAGCGGTTCCGCCCTCACCCCACAAAACGAACAGGGCGAGCTGAGTGCAGTCCAGCTGTCACGCCACCTGCCACCGGCCGGGAAAGCAGAACCATCACCACGGGAAGCTGACAGGACAGACGGATGCCCTGCGCACCTTCCTCTGCCCTGGCAGAGGGGCCCCGCCGCGCCCGGCTCCACTCCTGCACAGACAGTCTAGGGGAGCCCTGCAGAGCCTGGCCCTCTGAGCCACCTGACGCCCACCCACAGAGCCCAGGAGACGTGGGGACCCGCAGGACCGACTCTCAGTGGACAGCTTTACTCAGCAGACTAAAGCCTGCAGTAGAGACCCCCCCCCCGCCCCCACCGCCCGCCTGCTCGGGCTGGCAGGAGCGGGACCCTGTCCTGAGTCCTTGGGATTGGCTCTCTCAGCCTCTGTCCTCTGGCCTTGGCTCCGCTCTCTTCCCAAGGGAGCAAATGCAACCCCCGGGGCCTGGGCTGGGTCGGGGTGCTGAAGAGCACCACAGTCTGCGGTCGGGGCCAGTCTCCCCGGCGGCAGGCGCCCCGGCCCGCGCCGCACACAGGCTAGGTGAGGGTCATACTCTGGGAGTCTTGGCTCTTGTGGGTCTGGCCTCTGGAGGCCACGGGCAGGGAGGACGCGTCCTGGAACTCCTTGGCCATGTAGTAGTAGCAGATGGCGTCCAGGCAGCAGTTGGCGTCGGAGAGCTTGCTGGTGATGGAGAAGGTCTGGGAGAAGGCCACCCGGGCCGCACAGGAGGTGGGGCCCAGGGCGGCCTGCGCCGTCAGAGCCACGTGCAGGGGCAGGAAGCAGACCACGAACACCACCAGGTTGGCCCACACCATGCGGGCGGCCTTGCCGGAGGCCCATCCCACGTCGGCGGGCGGCCTCCGGGCCAGCGCGGTCACCACCTGCAGGGAGCAGAAGACCAGCACGGCCAGCGACAGGTAGAAGCCAAGTAAGGAGATCACGGTGCTGCCGAACTGCTGGCGGGCGCGGTTCCGGAAGCAGAAGCCGCCCTCCTGCACGCCCAGGCGCCAGCGCGCCACCAGAGAGCCGAGCACCGCCACCCAGAGGCCCGTGCACACGGCCGCCGCCCGGCGCGGGGAGCGGAGCCCGCGGGCGCGCAGCGGGTGCCGCACCGCCACGTAGCGGTCCACGGCGATGGCCACCACCAGGCTGATGCTCATGTACCTGTTGACCAGGTAGACGGCCTGGGACAGCTGGCACAGCGGGGTGTCCGACGTGTGGTCCAGGGAGAGCAGCATGAAGGGCAGGGAACACAGCAGACAGAGGTCGGCCACAGCCAGGTTGGTCATGTAGATGCGAGTCTCCGTCCACTGCCGCATCCGGCAGCAGAACACCCAGAGCGCCAGCCCGTTGAGCAGCAGGCCCAGCACCAGCAGCGTGGCCGAGTAGGCCAGGAAGATGTAGTTGAGCGGGGAGGGCCAGGTGACGTAGTCGCAGGTGTTGTTCATTGTCCTGGGGCTGCACAAACAACCCAGGGTTAGGTCTTGCTGCCCCTCCCCCAAGGCCGGGGGTTCAGGAAGGGGTGAGCCCCACCCCACCCCATTCACACCCCAAAGTCACCCTCAAGGCCTCACACCCGCCCTCCCCTGGACGGTCGGTCGGGAGAGCCAAGCCTTCTGAGCGGCCGCCAGGCCCAAGAGCCCACAGTGCGGCCACCCTTGCTCCTCGCACCGTTTCCACTCAGAAGGGGCGCAATATCCACCTCAGCCTGGCGGGGCAGGCTGTGCCCTCCAGAGCTCAGCTGCGGGCAGGTCCCGGGCAGCCTCAGCCAGCCGGCCGCTGCCCGTGGGGAGCCCGAGGCCCCAGGCTGGGCCCGGGGCCGGCCCAGGCCTGCGATCCTCCCGCCCTCCCCCACCCAGGCTGCAGGAGGCTGCTGCCCCCGCTGGACGCTGCACCCGCTCTGCCTGGCCTTGCTCGGAAGCAGAGCCAGGATGGCAGCGGCAGCGGGGAGAGCTCTGCTGCCCTGGCTCCTCTCCCCTCCTCGGAGCCACAGCTCTCAGACCTGCGGCCTCAGCCCCCTGCACCAGCCGAGGCTCCTCCAAGGCCACTGCCCAAGCAGACATGGGGCTCCCACCGTCAGGGCCACGCTGCCCCTCCAGGCCTGACCCCCTGCTGCTCACCCAGGTGTCCTCAGGAGCAAGGCCACCCTCACTGGCCACACAGCCCCTGGCTCCCTGTGGGCAGGGGTCTGAGGTCCAGGGCACGGCAGGCGCACAGCATTGGACTGTGGACTCCCCGGCTCACCCCCAGCCAGCCCGCCGCCACCCCTCATGGGGGATGCCTGGATCCCCTGGAATCCAGGACAGGAAGTGATGGGCAGGGTCACGGAGCCGGCACGCTGGCCAGGCCCAGCCCATTCTCTATGGGCCCAGGACGGGCGTGAGGGTGGAGGTGGGGTCCTGGCTCCCCAGGCCTCCCCTCGCGGCCTCCCTGCTTCTAGGCTGAGGGGGCGGGAGGGGGCTCCAGGGAGAGGGCCGCGCCCCGGGCTGGCAGCATGGTGAGTCCTGGCTCATGTCCTCTACCTTCCCCAGGGAACCTCCAGCCCCCCCAGTCCATTAGGGAAATGGTACAGAGCCAGTTGGAGCCAGAACATTCCATCTAATTGGATTCTGTCTCTTTAGACCCTGCATCTGTTAAACCCTAATGACACACTCGTCCGCAAGAAGCGCCACGTGCCTGCTCACCCGTGTGGACTCCCGCCCCGGCTCACGCTCCTTCTGGAAGGAGTCTGCCTTCTCTCCTGCACCTGTGCACTCAGCCCCGCACTCCAGCCACAGCTACCCAGAAAGCAGCACAGACCCCCAGGAACCTTCTGGAAATCCCACAGGAGCCCGGGAGGCTGCCATGCTGGGTAGAATGGCCCTTGGCTCACCTTGGGAAGGGCTCCACGTCACCAGAGACCCCACTTCCACCAGAGGCCAAAGGAGCTCCCCCCACCCCTGGCCCTGCCAGCCTCATCCCTCCCCACCATGCTGGAAGGGCTCAGCCCTGCCTCCGGCTCCGTCCCTGGAGCCCTCCGTCCCCCTGGGCCCTCTGTCCCCTGGCTCCGGCTCTGTCCCCTAGGCCCTCCGTCCCCGGGCCCTCCGGGACCTCTGTCCCCTGGCTCTGGCTCTGTCCCCTGGGCCCTCTGTCCCCGGGCCCTCCGGGACCTCTGTCCCCTGGCTCTGGCTCTGTCCCCTGGGCCCTCTGTCCCCCGGGCCCTCCGTCCCCCCAGGCCCTCTGTCCCCTGGCTCAGGCTCTGTCCCCTGGCTCTGGCTCCGTCCCCCGGGCCCTCTGTCCCCTGGCTCTGGCTCAGTCCCCTGGGCCCTCCATCCCCTGGGCGCTCCGTCCCCCGGGCCCTCCATCCCCCGGGCCCTCCGTCCCCCGGGCCCTCCGTCCCCCGGGCCCTCCGTCCCCCGGGCCCTCCATCCCCCGGGCCCTCCGTCCCCCGGGCCCTCTGTCCCCTGGCTCTGGCTCTGTCCCCTGGGCCCTCCGTCCCCGGGCCCTCCGGGACCTCTGTCCCCTGGCTCTGGCTCTGTCCCCTGGGCCCTCTGTCCCCGGGCCCTCCGGGACCTCTGTCCCCTGGCTCTGGCTCTGTCCCCTGGGCCCTCCGTCCCCCGGGCCCTCCATCCCCTGGGCCCTCCGTCCCCCGGGCCCTCCGTCCCCCGGGCCCTCTGTCCCCTGGCTCTGGCTCTGTCCCCTAGGCCCTCCGTCCCCTGGTGGCACGGGGGAAGGGGGGAGGAGGGGTTTGGGCCCCGTTCCTGGCTGTCACTTTCAGCTTGGCCTCAGCATTGCCCAGGATCCTGTGGGAGAAAGTTTAAAGAAAAATCTAACACAGTCTTTAAACTGTTCCATTGTAGTGAGACGAACACTGAACTAGGGAAGAGTTCAAACCTGTGATAGCACTCAGCAGCACCACGCCTGGAAAAACCCTGCTCACAGAGCCCTGTCCCCCCCACCCCTGCCCTGCTCCCAGAGCCCTGCCCCCCCCACCCCTGCCCTGCTCCCAGAGCCCTGCCCCCACCCCTGCCCTGCTCACAGAGCCCTGCCCCCCACCCCTGCCCTGCTCACAGAGCCCTGCCCCCCCCACCCCTGCCCTGCTCACAGAGCCCTGCCCCCCCCACCCCTGCCCTGCTCACAGAGCCCTGCCCCCCCCACCCCTGCCCTGCTCACAGAGCCCTGCCCCCACCCCTGCCCTGCTCACAGAGCCCTGCCCCCCCCACCCCTGCCCTGCTCACAGAGCCCTGCCCCCCCACCCCTGCCCTGCTCACAGAGCCCTGCCCCCACCCCTGCCCTGCTCACAGAGCCCTGCCCCCCCACCCCTGCCCTGCTCACAGAGCCCTGCCCCCCCCACCCCTGCCCTGCTCACAGAGCCCTGCCCCCCACCCCTGCCCTGCTCACAGAGCCCTGCCCCCCCCACCCCTGCCCTGCTCACAGAGCCCTGCCCCCCCACCCCTGCCCTGCTCACAGAGCCCTGCCCCCCCCACCCCTGCCCTGCTCACAGAGCCCTGCCCCCACCCCTGCCCTGCTCACAGAGCCCTGCCCCCCCCACCCCTGCCCTGCTCCCAGAGCCCTGCCCCCACCCCTGCCCTGCTCACAGAGCCCTGCCCCCCACCCCTGCCCTGCTCACAGAGCCCTGCCCCCCCAAACCCATCCCCTGCCCTGCTCACAGAGCCCTGCCCCCCCCACCCCTGCCCTGCTCACAGAGCCCTGCCCCCACCCCTGCCCTGCTCACAGAGCCCTGCCCCCCACCCCTGCCCTGCCCCCACCTCTGCCCTGCTCACAGAGCCCTGCCCCCCCACCCCTGCCCTGCTCACAGAGCCCTGCCCCCCCACCCCTGCCCTGCTCACAGAGCCCTGTCCCCCACCCCTGCCCTGCTCACAGAGCCCTGCCCCCCCACCCCTGCCCTGCTCACAGAGCCCTGCCCCCCACCCCTGCCCTGCTCACAGAGCCCTGCCCCCACCACTGCCCTGCTCACAGAGCCCTGTCCCCCACCCCTGCCCTGCTCACAGAGCCCTGCCCCCGCAACCCCTGCCCTGCTCACAGAGCCCTGTCCCCGACCCCTGCCCTGCTCACAGAGCCCTGTCCCCCACCCCTGCCCTGCTCACAGAGCCCTGCCCCCCCACCCCTGCCCTGCTCACAGAGCCCTGTCCCCCCCACCCCTGCCCTGCCCCCCACCCCTGCCCTGCTCACAGAGCCCTGCCCCCCCCACCCCTGCCCTGCCCCCCACCCCTGCCCTGCTCACAGAGCCCTGTCCCCCCCACCCCTGCCCTGCCCCCCACCCCTGCCCTGCTCACAGAGCCCTGCCCCCCACCCCTGCCCTGCTCACAGAGCCCTGTCCCCCCCACCCCTGCCCTGCTCACAGAGCCCTGCCCCCCCCACCCCTGCCCTGCTCACAGAGCCCTGTCCCCCACCCCTGCCCTGCTCACAGAGCCCTGCCCCCACCCCTGCCCTGCTCACAGAGCCCTGCCCCCCCAACCCCTGCCCTGCTCACAGAGCCCTGCCCCCCCCACCCCTGCCCTGCTCACAGAGCCCTGCCCCCACCCCTGCCCTGCTCACAGAGCCCTGCCCCCCCCACCCCTGCCCTGCCCCCCACCCCTGCCCTGCTCACAGAGCCCTGTCCCCCACCCCTGCCCTGCTCACAGAGCCCCGTCCCCCCCACCCCTGCCCTGCCCCCCACCCCTGCCCTGCTCACAGAGCCCTGCCCCCCACCCCTGCCCTGCTCACAGAGCCCTGTCCCCCACCCCTGCCCTGCTCACAGAGCCCTGTCCCCCACCCCTGCCCTGCTCACAGAGCCCTGCCCCCACCCCTGCCCTGCTCACAGAGCCCTGCCCCCCCAACCCCTGCCCTGCTCACAGAGCCCTGCCCCCCCCACCCCTGCCCTGCTCACAGAGCCCTGCCCCCACCCCTGCCCTGCTCACAGAGCCCTGCCCCCCCCACCCCTGCCCTGCCCCCCACCCCTGCCCTGCTCACAGAGCCCTGTCCCCCACCCCTGCCCTGCTCACAGAGCCCTGTCCCCCCCACCCCTGCCCTGCCCCCCACCCCTGCCCTGCTCACAGAGCCCTGCCCCCCACCCCTGCCCTGCTCACAGAGCCCTGTCCCCCCCACCCCTGCCCTGCTCACAGAGCCCTGCCCCCCCAACCCCTGCCCTGCTCACAGAGCCCTGTCCCCCACCCCTGCCCTGCTCACAGAGCCCTGTCCCCCACCCCTGCCCTGCTCACAGAGCCCTGTCCCCCCCACCCCTGCCCTGCCCCCCACCCCTGCCCTGCTCACAGAGCCCTGCCCCCACCCCTGCCCTGCTCACAGAGCCCTGTCCCCCCCACCCCTGCCCTGCTCACAGAGCCCTGCCCCCCCAACCCCTGCCCTGCTCACAGAGCCCTGCCCCCCCACCCCTGCCCTGCTCACAGAGCCCTGTCCCCCCCACCCCTGCTCTGCTCACAGAGCCCTGCCCCCACCCCTGCCCTGCTCACAGAGCCCTG